ACTGCTCAAATACGGCGCTGCCTCCTGCTGTTTTTCTACGGTATTACGTCCTTAAAGTGCCCCGCCTCTTCCTATCTTTCACAGACAGATTATGAAGATTAGACTGTTGTCTTAGACAGATTGTCTCTCCACAAGGCTGTTATATTTCAGAACATCTATCTCTATAAATGTTGCAGTTTTTTAACCAATTGTAGCAAAGAGAGTGTCACTTTACTAGCCGTATTTAAGATGCTAAATTAATTTCATTTACAAAAATAAAAAAGTCAAATAAATAACCCCTAAGCTTTTTACCACAATAAACTCCTCCAGAACAGATATTTTCTCAAGCATGGGTTATTTTCTTCAGTTTAATTCGCATTTTTACACATATTTCGAGTCAACAATTGACTCGGCCCATCAGTTGTGTTCATTTTATCAGCTGAAAATAATAGAGAAAAGTAAAACACATATTTTATAGCGTTTTTTACGAAGGCAAAGTAGTGTCTCTAGAGAAAAGTAAAACACATATTTTATATAGTTTTTTTTATATAAGTAGTGTCCATTTTCTCCGTAAGCTACTGTTTTGTATCTGCTGTAATGATGGTTGACAGGACAGCTTTCTGATCTATGTATGTTCTTAAAAAATTTAAAAGAAAACTCACGTTTTCACGACATTTTAAACGTTTACGGCATTTCGACAATATAGTTGCTACGACTGTGTTCATATTAGCTGGTATATTTTAGCGTAAAAATGTTTAAGGCGACTATGGGAATGTTTTGTTTATTCATTCAGTGTAAACCACGGTAACTATCAAAAGGGTACTTTTAATAATGTAATAATGTAATCGAGCTGATATTGTTCTGTTGTTTTATATTATGCTTAATACAAGGACAGGAAAAAGATACACAAGACACAACAGGGAAGTAGCTTCGCGTGATCAATTTTGATTGGCCCTGATAGTTGACACACTGACTCCGCCCCCTCACCGTTGTCACGTGCTCCCGTGGGGGGCGGAACTTCGTCCTTACGGCCGAAGTTCCTATTCCCGAAAGCTAACGCGCGGGTCGTCCGTTGGTTTTGCAGGCGGGGCCTACGTCAGCAGCGTCCCCTGGAGTCACGTTGAACAAAGTTAAGTTTTGTGAAAGCGGTGAGTTGAGTTCGCTCCTCTTCATGACAGGCAGTGTTCAGGGAACAGGAGTCTCCAGCATCACCTCAGAACTACGCAGCGCACCAGGTTCCAAAAATGTCTGCACAAATCATCAGCGGGAAGGAAGTTTCAGCGTAAGTTTGTATTCTCTCGTCAACCACATTTATGACGTAGCAATTAGACGAACGTGTGTAATGTAACCAGAGAGAACTTTGTGTGTTTGTGCTGTGGCTAACCTGGCTGCTAGCTTTTTTGACAACTCCTGTGATGTCGTCTCTAAAAAAAAACCAAAACAAAACAGTCGTTTAAGTCATGTTAAATGCAACTTGGCTTCATCTCAGCGCTGCTTTTGTGCAGACATATTCGATAACTTATTATGAATTAATTTTATGTGCAGCCGCTGACCACGTGAGTGCAGTGTGGCCAGTGGTTTATACTGGTGTTAATGTAGATGTTCAACAGATAAAATGACTGTAGACTCACTCGGGCTGCTGCAGTGTATTCACTGACAGTAATATAGACAACACTGAATTTAATTTTTATATATATTTTTAAATGTATTACTCTTTTAAAAAGAGACAGTGACAGTCAGGGAATAATGAATGGTCGGATATGATGCTTTGTTATGTAAGAAGCTGTGGCGGCGTGATATGAACTTTGCCCTGTTGATCCACTGACCCTGGGTGATCGCAAACGTACGATTTATGAAATGTAGACGGTGAAGATAAGGCGTTTTATGACTAAGTGGAATTTATTTTGTCGTTATTGCCACAATACATGTTTGTTATGTCGGTTATAGACCGTAAAAAACACAACACAAAGTTGTCATTCTATGATATTTTGGGCCTATTTTTAATGGCGTAATTCAAACTCCGTCTCCTGCTGCTGTTGTTCATTTCATATCTGTTTCTGTGTGATTGTCGTTGCTTTTACTTGCTTTACAAATCACTTTGTGTGACTTTTATGACTTGTTTTTCCCAAATTCTTCCTTTGTCGAAAAATATTTCTATATCCTACAATATATATATAATATATATAATATAATAATCTATAATATATATAATATAATAATCCTATAAGTTTAGTAGTACTGTGCACATCGTGGCCATTTACTGCAGTTTTAAGTTGTTAATGTGGATTTAAATTATATTTATTGATTATCTATTTTTGTTTATCTCATTCCCGTTTTTTTATTTTTTTATTTTGCGCTTGGTTGCACTCCAACTTTTTTATAGCTACTGGTATGAAAGTCAATGAGTAAAATGGTCCATAAAACAGTGCAGAACTGCCAAACGCTTGATCTTACATAACATTATCTGTAGGGGTCAAGTAAACTGGACCTTATGAACCTGTTCTGATTCATGCAAATGACTGAAATTTTGCTGTAGAAATTTCACAACCAAGTTTACACCAGTGTTTGTTTGCTCTTGGATCATTTGATGGAGAACTTGTGCTGAAGATAGACTTTTATTTTTTAATTTAGCAATTCATTAAACACAGCTTTGAATGTTCTCAAACTGGAGGTGTTGACAGTAGTACTGTCTACAATAGGGGAGCAAAGGTTAGGGAACCACTGGATTGATTAAAGAGTTTATAGATTTTTTTTAACCTTTTATTTTTTTTTACCTTTCAAATATATTATTTGCTCCTTTGCAACGGTCCACATAAAACTGTGTTCCTCAAAATGAGGAGTGTAAGAAAATATCAATACAATCAAAACAATTTCACAATACCTTATTGATATTCTACAGCAATATATCAACTTTTTTAATCATTTTTTTACAATTAATATGCAAATATTCATGGTTGGTCCATTTTGTTTTTATTTTCTTTCTTTTGTAGTGATTACAAATATAGATCCCTTAACCTGATGTTAAGATGGGACAGGATTGTGTGTTGTCTATGCTAACAGTTAAACTACAATTAAATTGTTTTAAAAAAAAAAAACCTCAATATATCATCACGCTGACAGTATCGCAATATACTGTATCGTTGCCCCTGTATTATATATATATACATATCTTGCTAATACACACCCCTACTGAGTGTTGGGTTGTGTATTGGCGTGAGTTGTTCATTCACTTTATAAATATTGTAGAAAATGCATGGTCATTTGGTCAAATGAATAAATTAAATAAAACGTCCAACTCTGTTGTACTTCAGTACAAAAACATATAATTAAATAAAACGTCCAACTCTGTTGTCCTTCAGTACAAAAACATATTACGGTAGCTCCTCACAGGCTAATGACGTTTTTTTTTTTTTGTTATCTGCTTGAGATAATAGATCAGTGCAACGTCAAAGTGCGCCGCATTAGTCTATTTTGGCTGCATGTGCTCATCACAAGACCTGACAGACCGCAGCCTGTTAACTCGCCCTCACGGAGGCCATTAGTGCAATTGTTTCATGCTGCACAAATTGCCTGTTCCGGCTTTAAAAGCTTTTTTTTTTCCTCTGGAGATGGAGAAAAGATGACCTACAATGACTGATCGTTTCAGTCTTTGACAGACCAGGGGTCACCGACTGGTGCCTGCGGACACCTGGTAGCCCCCCTTGGACTACCAAATGTGCCCGCAGGGTATGTTCTAAAAATAAAACTAGTCAACAAGAGGGTCAAAAATTGTACTTTTACTGTGCTTTTTGAATCAGTTCCACTTGTAATGACATTCAAATGGGTCCAATGACGATGGTAAAAAGAGTGTCTGCTGTTGTCTGTCCCAGAACTACTGTATTTTCCAGAATATAAGTCGCACTTTTTTCATCCTTTGGCTGGGTTTGCGACTTACACTCAGGTGCGACTTATATATTAAAATATATAATTTCTAATGTTCGTTATTTTCACACTGACAACCACTAGAGGGCACTCTAGGCTTGTGTACCAGTTTTTGCTACTCATGTACCACTGAAAATTTACATTCGTTATTTTTTACACTGAGAGCCGCTAGAGGGCACTGGTGCAACTTATATATGTATTTTTCCTTTTCATTATGCATTTTTTGGCTGATGTGACTTATACTCCAGAAAATACGATAATTAATGAGTACGATGTTCGGGAGGAAACAAGTAGCACTTTGTATTACTAAGTGCCTTTGAAGTAGCTCTCAGTCTCAAAAATGGTCGCTGACCCCCGGTGTCATCGCAGAACCTTCATCCTGGAGGCAGAACTTTTAAGAATGGAGAAACGATAAGAACTACAGTGTTGTATAAAAAGATACAGTGGAATGGCTCTGGTTAATCAGTGACATCACGTGTTTTTATAACAGTGTTTGTCGTAAGATTCTATTGTGGTAAACACAGTTAAACGTGAAGTTCACGTCCTCAGTTGATTAAACCCGGATCAAAGGTTACTACAGTATTTTCAGCCTTTAGCTAAAACTGATTGTTCTGTCAGTCCACACCAACAGTCGTGGGACCTTAAAACTTTGATTGTCTTTGATCGTTAATCAGTAACATTCAGTCAGTCTTTATCCGCCGCCGACAGATCGTTGATACCTGAACTGTGAGCTCTGTCCCTCTGTCTTTGATCGGTTCAGGTCAGTTTGGCAGAAGCTCAGTTTGAAGTGATTGTTTCATTCTGTTGCCTCATCAACACCACATGTAGGAAGTGAAGATAAACTCACAAAGACCAGGTTTCCTCAGGCGACTTTTGCACTTGAAAAAAATGACTGCAAATGAATGTCACTGTATTCACTTAGAGATAAATTATTAAAGAATAATAAAGAATGAAATTGTACCTTTAATGTGTTAAGTGTTAAGTTTTCAAGCAGTTTCAGGAAGGTGGCGTTAGAGTCTGTTTTTTCCAAATGTCATATAACTATAGAAGTCCATAAAAAAGTCATAGATTCTTAAGCCAAAATAATCAGATACTTACGTTAAATTTATGAGTTGGTTTCTCATTATTTTGACTGAAGAATATTATATAAGCATATTATAAATACACGTTCTTTCTATGGAATTTTAACACCGACCTCAACAGCAAACCTGATAATTTTAATTTTAAACCATATGGCACCAGCTGTGCAGTAAAGGATATTAATTTTGGGGTCGTAAGTTAATATAAAAATGTCTTTGTTTTCAGGCAGGTGAGGGAGCGCCTGAAGAAGGACGTGGAGCAGATGAAACTTCAGGACCCAAACTTCTGCCCTGGTTTAGTCGTCCTACAGGTTCGTTTAAAATGACGGGAACTAAAAAAAAATAAAGACATTTTATTGTTTCTCTTTCATAATTAATGATTATGATTATAAGTACATCCTTAATAACTTTCAAAGCATTTTCTTTGTGCGTTATCCTCTATCAACCGTGTTTCGAACACATTTCCACACGTCAAAACGATAACTTACGTAAGCTGTTGGAACTTAATTAACGATCATTAAGCGCTAATCATTGACTACGGGTGTAACTTTAACAATTAATATTTAAATGATACATGTAACAAAATAGTACCATACCGTGTGCCTCTCCGGAGGGTGTCTAATATTTTGAATTATTATTTTTATCTGCTCCTTTTACCGTCGTTTTTTCTTCTTTTAACTACTACTACAGCGAACCCTTTCAAAATAAAAGCCCGTACTATCAAACGAGGCCCAAAACGTTAAACATGAATACTGCAAAGTCAAATCTGGGTTGAAAACTCAAAATAAAGATCACGCAGTGATTATTCAACGATGTAAACATAAAAACAAAAACTGGGTTATTCATAGGAATTATTTATTTTAATTTGTATTAAAACAAATTTTAATTTCTTTGTGAATGGACGTGTCTTTGCAGGTCGGAGACCGTGACGATTCAAATCTCTACATCAGCATGAAGATGAAGGCAGCAGCCGAGGTGAATAAAACAGTTTACACATTCACAAACTTTGACTTTTTGTCTTCCTGAGACTCAACTCTTATCTTTTTAAACTACAGATTGGAATAAATGCGACACATATCAGACTTCCCAAGACGGCCACCGAGGAGGAGGTGAGCTCACAGTTTGATCTCCTTATTTATTTATAAGAATAATACAAAAAAAACTACACCAGTTTCCTGTGAGACTTTAAAGACGTCCGTCTCTGTCCAGGTTCTCCACAAAATCACAGAAGTAAACGAGAACTCGTCCGTCCACGGCCTGATTGTGCAGCTGCCTTTAGACTCCATCCATAAGATGGACACGGAGAAGGTGACCAACGCTGTGGCTCCGGAGAAGGATGTGGACGGGTGAGGGCTTGTATTAGACTTCTTTCTCTGCTTTTCTTGATTCTGTTTTTTCATTTAATCACGTTAAAGTAAAGTATCTGTCATGGTTAGAGTTTGTACACAGATTGGTCATTTGTTAACTTGACTCTGTTAAATTGGCAGGTTGACCAGTATTAATGCTGGAAAACTGTCCCGTGGAGACCTGGGCGACTGCTTCATCCCCTGCACCCCCAACGGCTGCATGGAGCTGATCGCAAAAACTGGTAAAGATGAAAAGCGAATGACACAAGCTCTTATTTTGTATTATTTTAATGCAGTGTTGTTCAACCTTGGGGTCGTGACCCCAGGTAGGGTTGTCAGGAAAGTAAACGGGGTCACCAGAAAAAGTTTAGTTAGGGACCAATTTGTGTCATTGTCCACAAATGTGTAGATTTCTATATTATGGTAAAAAACTAAAATTTCCTCTTGTGTTTTTGTAGGCGTGTCCGTGGCAGGAAAGAGGGCTGTAGTGATTGGTCGCAGTAAGATTGTGGGAGCGCCGATGCACGACCTGTTGCTGTGGAACCACGCCACCGTCACCACATGTCACTCAAAGACCGCTGACCTCCCTGGAGAGGTACGTAAAATATCAGCCAACCAGGGGAAACCAGACCATTGACCCTGTGACATTTTTAAATCTAGTGAATTCTTTTAACATAAAAAAAGAAATAATAAAACATGTTAACTTGAATTCTGCTGATATTTAGGTGGGAAAGGCTGACATCCTGGTCGTCGGCATCGGCAAAGCAGAGATGGTGAAAGGAGAGTGGATCAAAAAGGGGGCAGTGGTCATCGACTGTGGCATCAACCACGTCCCAGGTGAGTCGCTCAATTTCAAAAGGAGAATCCACATTTTTATGGCTAAAAACCTTCATTTACATACATTTATATATGAAAGTATTATAATGTCTTTTATTTATTGTTTTGCTATATTCTGCATTAAAGCGAAAGTTTGGCGAGACCGGATAAAAAAATAAAAAATTGCGATGTACTGTGGAAGCGAAAGGAGAACCACGAACACTGTATACTGTAGAGCATAGGTGTCAAACTCAAGGCCCGGGGGCCAAATGCGGCCCGCCAAGCCATTTTGTGTGGCCCGCGGGAGCTTAAAAAGCATTTAATGAAGTCCATGCAGCAGAGTTTATCAACCTATGAAATTAAAGTTTTGTTTTTTATTACACAGCAATGAACAATATTTGTAGCTTGAATAAATAATAATCAATTACAGATACATGTTTCAGTCTGTTATGGTGGAGCTACATCTATACCAGACTCTATTCTGTTTGTATCAAAGTCTGAATGACTTTTATTTTAAAATATTGCCAGATTATCGTCAAATAAATAATTTTTTTGAATGAAGTAAATTAGAATTTTTTTCACTTTTTCACTGTGTCCTACTGCGAGCTGGTACCTATGGACCGGTACTGGTCCGCGAACCAAGGGTTGGGGACCCCTGATCTATACAGTGTTCCATTTAAAACCGTCCCTTCAACAGGAACTGTGTTGCTGATGTGGCCCCCGGTGAAAATGAGTTTGACACCCCTGGTTTAGATCATCTTGATTGCAATATGTATAAATTATCGCAGATTCACTGTATCGTGATATTGTTGTGATCATGGGTAAAATCTTGTGAAACTATTGTATGGAATGGTACACAGACGTAGTCGGTGATACGGTCGTAATCCTCAAATATTCCAGATGACACGAAGCCCAGTGGCAAGCGAGTGGTGGGTGACGTGCACTACGCCTCAGCTAAGGAGCAGGCCGGCTTCATCACTCCGGTGCCTGGAGGCGTCGGACCCATGACTGTGGCCATGCTGATGTCGGTGAGGCTTCATGTACATTTAGCCACGATTTCCTCACGTGGTTTAAACATACGACGTGTTAAAGAGCGACTGTGCGTTGGTCGGTGTGTGTAGAACACTGTGTTGGGGGCAAAGCGTTTCCTGGAGGGACATCAACCAGGGAAGTGGAACATCTCTCTCACCAAACTCAACCTGCAGAAACCTGTGCCCAGGTTTGTCCACCCGTCTTCCAGGATGTACTTCCTGTCCTCGCTGTCCTTCCTCCTGCTCAGCGTCTGTGTCTTCCTCCTCACAGTGACATCGTGATCTCTCGCTCCTGCATCCCCAAACCCATCGACCGGCTGGCCAAAGAGGTGGGCTTACTGTCTGACGAGGTGGAACTTTACGGAAAGACCAAGGCCAAGGTCCAGCTGAGTATCACCAAACGCCTGCAGGCACAGCCTGATGGGAAATATGTGGTGGTCACTGGGTAGGTTGCACTGTTTTTGGTTCATTCTTATGAAATGTTGGCCTTAAATTGTTGCAGGAAGAGAGAGTTGTACATTAGCATGTTTTGCTAATTGTTTTGCTAGCATGATGACTAGGGAAATTTTTACTCCATGAACCTAAATAGACATTATTAAAGTCTATTTTTCTTAGATTTTTTTTTTCCAAATGTAACTAGCTGTATCTGTAATGATAATCAATTCTGTTGCGGAGGATACGAACTTGAGTCACGAACTTGTGCTTTTTTTTTTCTCTCTATTTTTTTCATTATTATTAAAGATATAAATTTAATAATTGATTTTTCAACATCCATTAGAGCGTCCATTATTTTTTTTTCTAGGATATATTTGTTTTGATCCGTTAAAATGTAACATGCATTCAGACATATCTGGAAGCAATGAGAAAGGTGTCATAAAATGTCATAAAATTAATTTATATATTGAAATGACTCTTTGGTCCATATAGAAAAAAAATATTGAATTTATTATGTTTTATTATTTTACTAAAATGCCTGTTTTATTCCTAAAATCATTACAATCATGGTTTACTAATGATTTCATGAGATGAACATGCAGTACTCAGCTGTACTACATGTTACACACAAAGTACTTTTTCCTTCATACTGTTGTATTTGGTTCTGTTTTTATAATATACTGCAAAAAAAAATGATGAAGCAGTTTTTTTTTTTTTACAAAAATCCTGACCGGTAAATGCCCTCCTGTCTGCAGCATCACCCCCACTCCTCTGGGTGAGGGTAAGAGCACCACCACCATTGGTCTGGTCCAGGCTATGGGGGCTCACATGAACCTCAACGTGTTCGCCTGTGTCCGGCAGCCTTCTCAGGGGCCAACCTTTGGTATTAAAGGTGAGCCATTGTTTCAACATTTGGATTAGTCCCAAATAACCACAGGTGAGAAACAGTGACCCCTACCTGCAGTTGTTGTCTTTCTGCTCAGCAGCATACAGAAATTAATTTCGCTCACGTTTAGAAATGTGGCTTTATCTGGATCAGTCGTGCATATATTACGACCAAAATTAGTTGCAATTAATTATGATTAACCACAATTAAATCCTTTAACTTAAATCACAATACATTATGATTAATTATAATTAATCATAATGTATTATGATCTATCCAGAGCTACCATGTGATTCATCATATTTAAATATTTCATCATTTGACAGTCCTTATATACAGCCGCTGTCACTATATGTACATATATTTTTCCTTATTTTAAAAATATTTTTTGTCATTTACTCACACAGAAGCCACTCTTGTTCTCTCTCTGAACCACTTTTGCAGAAGGATGATGATAAAGATTCAGTTCTAGTAGTCTGTTTTCCAAATGAGTGTTTTAAAGCTGTAGTTCCGTGCTCTGGTCTGCAGGTGGCGCTGCAGGAGGAGGATATTCTCAGGTCATTCCAATGGAAGAGGTAACGCTGTGTTGTTAGAAGTTCCAAACTTTGCGCTTAGTATAAAAAATACAAATAAATGAAACATACTTTTTTTTTTTTTTTTAAATATTTATTATTTCAGTTCAACCTTCATCTCACTGGTGACATTCACGCCATCACGGCTGCCAACAACCTGGTGGCGGCCGCCGTCGACGCTCGCATGTTTCACGAGGCCACGCAGTCTGACAAAGTGGGTTCAAGTTTGAGACTTTTTGATATGAAAATGCACATGTATATGTATATGTATATATATATATACACGTATATATGTATATATATGTGTGTGTGTATATGTATATGTGTATATATATGTATGTATATGTATGTATATATATGTATATACAGTATATGTATGTATATATATTTTTATATATATATATATATATATATATATATATANNNTATATATAAATATTTTAATTTTAATGTTATATTCTGTATATTTTAATTTTAATGGATATTTTCCTCTCCTTTTAGGCTCTGTACAATCGCTTGGTGCCCCTCAGTGGTGGACAGAGGAAGTTCTCCCCAATCCAGATTAACAGACTGAAGGTAAGTGAGTACAGCTCCTTCTTGGACTTTACTCCCAGTGCAGGTCAAAAGGTCACTTCAAACTCCCCCGCCTCTGTGTCTGTGTAGAGACTGGGCATTGAGAAGACTGACCCCGCTGCTCTGACTGAGGAGGAGGTCACCCGCTTCGCCCGTCTGGACATCGACCCCAGCGCTGTCACCTGGCAGAGAGGTGCGGTCTGGACGTCCTCCATGTTGTCTCCCAGTCTTCTCTAGGCCACACCTTCTTTGCGCGTCACACGTCTCTTTGTTTCCCTCACTTCAGTGTTGGACACCAACGACCGCTTCCTGAGGAAGATCACTATCGGCCAATCACCAACTGAAAAAGGACACACGAGAGAGGTGATGATTTTTCTGGTCTAGTCTTGGAGGTCTGCTGGAGTTTGTGTGTTTATCTTACCTTAGGTCAGTGGTTTCCAAAAAAAGTTCATTTTTTGGCTTTTGTGATCCTTAAATTTCTGTCGACCCCAGAGACATTTCGTTTTTTATTTGGCGTTTTTAATCATAATTATTAAAAGAATAACAATTATTTGAACTTTTTTTTTATCAGTATTTTGTTTTCATCAATTACTAGACATTTCACTGGACCCCATTTGAGCTCCAATTGACCCAGGGTGGGGCCCACGACCCAAAGGTTGAGCAACATTGTATTAAACCAATACGACAAATACAAACTTATGTAATTCTTGAATTCCATAATTCTCCAACTTTATCATCTGCGGGATGAAGCAGTCGCCCACGTCTCCACGGGACAGGACTGGTTTCCCAACATTTCTGGTCAACCTGCAAATTTAACAGATTATAGTCGACCAACATGACCAGTCTCTCTACAAGTTTTAACAAACCAATACTTTATTTTAACGCCACTAAATAAAGACCGAATCAAGAGAAACCTGGTGAGAAGCCGAGAAAGAACAATGACACAAATCCACATCATGACATCATCGGCGTACAGTGATGGTTTTTGATAACGCACCTTCTCACCTGTGCTTCAGGCCCAGTTTGACATCACTGTCGCGAGTGAAATCATGGCCGTGCTCGCCCTCACCAGCAGCCTGGAGGACATGCGTGAGCGTCTGGCCAAGATGGTGGTGGCCACCAGTCGCAGCGGCGAGCCCATCACCACTGAAGACCTGGTCAGCGTTCTTCTCTCCGACTTCGTCGTAAACTGGTCCGTCCGTTCTGTTCCAACCGGGAATTCTAACGTGTCCTGTTTCTACCCCAGGGTGTCAGTGGGGCTTTAACTGTGCTGATGAAGGACGCCATAAAGCCAAACCTGATGCAGACTCTGGAGGTGAGTGAAGGTCCTCACGTTTACCTTCAGGTTTTTCACTGTCCCAGACCCAGAACTCCAGTTTTGTATCTGAAATAATTTCCCGTGCGGCCCAGCGTTCCGAGCGTTGTACTCTGTGTGTCCACAGGGAACACCTGTGTTCGTTCACGCCGGTCCTTTCGCCAACATCGCACACGGAAACTCCTCCATCCTGGCAGATAAAATAGCTCTGAAGCTGGTGGGACCTGAGGGCTTCGTAGGTGAGAGGAGCAGAGGGAATTCCATGTTTGGTTTTTTCTTTTTTAATGTTTTAATTATGTTGTAAATGTGATCGTGCACAGCGAAAAAACTAAAATCAAGTTTTTAATTGTTTCCCCCTAATTTGTATTTCTATTTTGTATGTGTTCATAATTATGACAATCTAGTTTGAATATTTGCAGAGCAAAAAAAAAAAAACATTTACCTTGTGAGTCATCTACAGCAGGGTTGTCAAACATACGGCCCGTTTGATTAATTTTGAAAATAAAAAATACACGAACACCTCATGTTCAGGAAATATTTTTTAATATAGTTTTATATTTAAAATTGTAATGAATTAAAAAACTTAACAAACTCTCATAAAATATTACAAAATATCTAAAGAAACATCAACTGTTAGAATGTATTTTCTTACTTTTATTCACTTTTCAATAATTGTTACTTTTGATTAGAAAATTTAAACAAACGTGAGCTAGCTTGATAACAGGTTGCAAACTGCTTGGTTGAAGCTGACACGAGAGATGCGTTCGGGTACCGTCGGAAACTTGAGAATCTGACGATGATGTCAGTTTAAATGTTATAGGATTCAGAACAAATGGTTATTTAAAAAAAATAAAAATAATTCAGTTCTTTTTTTTTGCATTTTTTTTTTATCTTCCTTCAAATTTTCTGAGATTTCCGTTTTGAAACTATCACATACGTTAGCGACTTTGACTTTGTTGTCTGATTGATCCCCTCAGTCACCGAGGCTGGCTTCGGAGCTGACATCGGCATGGAGAAGTTTTTCAACATCAAGTGTCGTTACTCCGGCCTGCGGCCACACGTGGTGGTGTTGGTGGCTACGGTCAGAGCCCTGAAGATGCACGGAGGAGGACCAACGGTGAGTCCAGCTTCCTGTCTGTCTGTAAATACCACGCACACACGACTCCTTCAAAGGTCAAATGAGTGATGATTGGTCGGAACTGGAGACGTTTCATGTCAAACCTCCTCTGCTCGCCCCTCCCATCTTGATTTTCCTGCCTTTAACATATTTGTAGGAAACTCTGGTTTTGGGACATTTTTTCAACTTTGACTTTTTCACTTTTGTTCAGGTGACAGCTGGGATGCCACTGCCCAAGGAATACGTGGATGAGGTCGGTTTGAAGTGATGTTTTTTTTATTGATTTTCTGCTAAAGTTCATAGCTATTCTGTGTCATAGCTGCTCACTTCACATGTGTGTGTGTGTGTTTGTAGAACCTTGAACTGCTGGAGAAGGGCTGCAGCAACATGAAGAAGCAGATCGAGAACGCACAGCACTTTGGCGTTCCCGTGGTGGTCGCTGTGAACGCTTTCAAGTGAGTGAAGATGACAACGTGTGAAAACAGATAAAAAAAAAAAAAAACACCCAAAAATGTTATGACATTTTATCTAAGGATACATTTGGTAAAACAGCTGCAACTTTTCATTTACAAAAAGTCACATTTTAAGACCTTGGGGAGTGTTTTAGGGCATCCAGCAGAGGGCGCTGTTACTGCAGTTTTACTTGAGAGTCAATGAAGGCGACACTAAAATGTGTGTGTGGGAGTTCTACTTCACTCAGTGTCTGGTCTCCAACACAGAACAACAAAAACAGTGGAAGTATTTTGGGTGTAAGAATACTACAATACAATACCTGCAGAAATACCTCATTAGTATAATATATATATATATATATATATATATACACCTTGCTTTTGACTTTTTTATTAATAAATAGTCTATGAAGGTATTTTTTTATGATGGTCAGTGATTTTTTTTTATCTTCTGTGGAAATTAAACAAACCTCCAGCACATATCTAATATATAAAATATAAAATAAACATAGTTTTCTTCCAGCTTCCGAACAGTTACTGAGATTTTTATATATATATATATTCAGGATTTTTGTATATATATATATTCAGGATTTTTGTATATATATTCAGACCTTTTGTATATATATTCAAAGATTAATTTCTTGAACGGCATGACATAATATACATATATAAACACACAAACATATATATATTTCATATAATATTAGCTAATGTAGTAAATGATCAGTATTGACTGATGTTCACTGTGTGATTTTTTATTTATTTATTCATTTATTTTTTTGTTCTGCAGGACAGACACTGAGGCCGAGCTGGACCTGGTCTGCAGCGTGGCTAAAGCCGCCGGGGCGTTCGATGCCGTGCGCTGCTCCCACTGGGCTGAGGGTGGCGCCGGGGCAGTGGCTTTGGGTCAGGCTGTCCAGAGGGCCTCTGTGACCCCCAGCCAGTTCAAGTTCCTCTATGATTTGGAGGTGTGTTATCGCCCGGTGACGTCACTCCTGTAGCGCCGCCCTCTGTCTTCAAGATCATTTAATTACACATCGAGAAGTTAAAAAACGAATCACTTCACAGTTAAACATAAATTATGTTTATGTAGCACTGTTGCTAAGAATTTTTTTATTTTCTTTAAAGCATTCATTTTAGACTGATCATCTACGCTGATGACTCTGTCTTTTTCCTCAGCTGTCTATTGCTGACAAGATCAGAACAATTGCCCAGAAGATCTACGGCGCGGACGACATCGAGCTGCTCCCGGAGGCCCAACACAAGGTGGAGCTCTACACCAAACAGGTCAGTAGTCTGTTGGTCAGCGTCTGTTGCGGAGTCCCTTTGTCTTGTAAATACCACACTAAGCCCTCGCCGCCGTGTCCTCTCCTGCCCCCAGGGTTTTGGCCATCTGCCCATCTGCATGGCCAAGACACATTTATCCCTCTCTCACGAGGCAGACAAAAAGGGCGTGCCCACGGGGTTCACGCTGCCAATCAGGGACATCCGAGCGAGCGTGGGCGCTGGCTTTTTGTTTCCACTCGTCGGCACGGTATGTTGTCATTCATGTTGAACCAAACAGTGGCTTTACTGTGTTGGCTCCGAGGCCTGGAGCCATCTAGGTGTGTTTGTTTACTGTGTTCAACTGCCAAACCGCAGAGTAAGGAACCGGATGGAAGTTTAACATTCTTTCATTTATTTATTAATAAATTTTTTTTTTTTTTAACTAAAGAATGTGGGTCATAAAAATGAAGCAGGTCTTGTTACAAAGCTGTCGTCAAGTGATATTGATTTCAGAAGAAATGTTTGTCAATGAGACGGTGGTGGAGACGGTGCTCAACACTGTGTTTATGGAAAGGGGGAGGGGCTTCTGGAGCGAGCGTTTTGTTTCACACCAACGACGTGTTTGGTTGGTTCACCGTGAGTTTCTGTCATTTTAATAATGAAGTGACATCACATTTAAAAAAAAAAACAGCCACAGTTTAATTCTAGTAATTCTCAAATAGTAGGGCGGGGCCCCCTGGTGGGGCGCCGTGAGATGCCGGGGGGATGAGGGTCTTCCAATGGACTATGGCATGATTGACATAAGTGTACACCACTGCTGTAATACTTGAATGATGAGAAGCCTCCCGTCACTAGGTGGCAGCACCTCATACAGTGGTTTGTACAGATTAACATACACATGTTCTCAGGATACTGGTGTAGCTATACTCGTGGGGACCCTCTTCTTATCTAATAGTTGTGGGGACGTTCTGCGTGGCTCCTCATGAATTCCCGGTTCTTTTGACGTTGAATATTTGGTTCAGAGACACACACCACAGATTTCTGTCTAATCTGATATTTAATCTGACTGTATCGTTCCTAGATGCCCACCATCCCCGGTCTTCCCACCAGGCCTTGTTTCTACGACATCGACCTGGACCCTGAGACGGAGCAGGTCAACGGTCTCTTCTAAAACATGGTGAGGTGATGTTGATGATGAAGATTGGAAGTCAGTAGAAGTCTGTTCCAGATCATTCTATCTTCATATCATTTCATCTTGGTTTTTTTTGTTTTTTTTCTGTTGCACAGACGTCGTCGTCGCCGGCATCGCAGCCTTCACACTGAGCCTGAACAAAACCTGATGTGCTGATCATTTTACGAGCCTCCAACTGCTGCTGCTGCTGATGATGATGATGATGATGCTGATGATGTCGGTTTGACGTCCAATCAAACTCTGTAAAGTATTAATTGTTTTCTCCATGTCACTGCTGATAATCAAAAACTCCAGCCCTAAATGTCTTAAAACTATTTTTTTTTCCTTCTGAATTGGTGACCAACGTTGAGACTCTTGTGTTTTTGACTTGAACTGTGTCCAACACTGTCTCACTGTCTCACTGTCTCACTGTCTCACTGTCTCACTGTCTGCCTTGACGTGTGAAAATAAACTGCCTTCCTGTTACAAGTCTTTGGTTTCGGCTGCTGTAAACTCCTCTTCACGCCTTCTTTTTGTTTGTTATTTGATGTTTTTGCTCCTTTTGTCACGATGCCAACGTGCGTCAGTACCAGACCTGTGCACGAGTCATGACCGAAATGTAAAACAAACAAGGTTTAATGCAGAAGGGTTTCCAAAAGCATTATGGGTAACCACACCTAGAAACCGTAAAGATCAACAACACAAGTGCAATGCCAACATTTCCCACCGGTGCCAAATGAACTGCAATAAAAATAATATTTATATATGTACTTCAAACACACACATATATACATAAATATATGTACATATATATATATATGTGTATATACATATATATTTTATAATTGTATTATTAATGACTGAGTGAGATTCCGCTTTAAATAAATATAAATAAAAATGTATTTATAAATACATTTTTTTAATACTGCCCTAAACGTTGAGGAAAATATTTCATTGTTACTTTGGTTGTTTTTTGTTTTTACATGAGTCAGGGACTGTGTGTCAGTCTGCAGGGACACGACCAGGGTCTGAATTTTTTTTCTTCTAAACTTTTTTCTTTTTAAACGATAAAACTGGAGTCCAAAGGTAAAAATGCTGTTAGAAAAAGAAGGGTTGTTGCTCCAGTGTCAGGATTGACTGTCTTTTATAAATAATATATACTGTATTTGTGATGACAAGTAGATTATAATCTACCAGTAGGGGGAGCGCTGACAGATGACAATAAAAAAAAGTAAATTATAGCAATTAGTAATTCAAATTGTAGTTTTTAGATGCTAAAATACGGCTAATGCTACTGGACTAAATAGTGATTATGTAGCTATTAAATCATAAAGTACCATACAGCTACATACATATGAAATACATATACATATATATACATATACATGAATTATCTGTACAGTAAAATTTATCGCCATGACTGTGATAAAAATAAACAACTCATCACGTATAAAAGTCAAACAGGTTTTTTTTTTTAAATTTTTTAAATTATTTATTTTAACTGAAACAGTTAATATGGTGAGGTTCAAGCGGAGGTTCTCGTTAATTATTGGGTCGTCCATCACCGCGTCCACAGTGCTGTGCTCTCATCTCCTGCCCACGGCCACCTCCTTGTCCTTGTCCTTGTCCTTCCGCAGGTCCTTTCCCCTCACAGTTTTCTCCTCTTTTTTCCTTTACACCAAGGTCAAACAGAGGTTAACGTGACATTAGCACAAAGGTACCGTTAGCTCGCTGAAAACGCAACAAAACGTGAAAAGATTTTCCTACTTTTTCAGAATCACACGGCCCGCGGCCGCGACACTCCTCGCCGGGTCCGCCTCTCTTCTCACCCTGAGACACGGATTCACCTTCATTAGTTCATGTTTTTCCAGTGGTCGGTCGTCGACAACGTAAGCGTAAATAAAGAAATAAAAAGACTCACCGATTTACCACGTGCTGTGAAGGAAACAAATGTGAAAACATGGTAAACACGGTTCATTCCTTTGTGGTGATTCGTAAACGGGCGTTAGCACGACATGACCTGACACGGGATGGATTAACGACTGAGACGACAGTTCAGTCGACGTGATAATTACAGTTTAACGCCACCTACAAAATGACCGCCATTTAATATGTAAAATATAAGGACACAAAGAAGAAGGAAATGAGAGTCAAATGTTTCAAATGAAAACAAACGTTCACTTGAATATATTTAGTTTGAATATAAAACGAATATAAGAATTTAAGAAAATAAAATATATTTGATAATGTTGTTTTTAGGCAGTAGTTGCTTTGACGAGTTGAATTTTCAGGTCACGAACTCTAAAAAAAAATTCAGAACACGAACTGGACCCCGACCCATCAGTTATCACCACTCACGGTCGCTCATTTTGTCCTGTCAACGGTGCAGTAGAAGAAACTCTCCTGTGAAACAGAGTGAAACGTTGATCTTTAAATCCCGATCGTTGTCTGCTCTGCTGTAAAACAAACAAACTCAACAACAACAACAACTCACCTGGTGCAGAAACAGAACAGACTCTGGGTCAGTGTTTGTGTTCGTGGTCTTTATATGCAGTACTGTGTTACAACACACGATGACTCGTCTGTTTTGGCTACAGTAACGTCTGGAGTCAGAGCTGAACCACAGCAGAGTTTGGGTGTGACCGACGAAAGGTTTACACTGGGGTTTAAGCTGGATGGATGGACAGATAGATGATGGATGGATGGTTGGAGTTTGGGTGTGACCGACGAAAGGTTTACACTGGGGTTTAGGCTGGATGGATGGACGGATGGATGGATGGATGGATGGATGGAGTTTGGGTGTGACCGACGAAAGGTTCACACTGGGGTTTAGGCTGGATGGATGGTGGATGGATGAATGGACGGGTGGATGGATGGATGGATGGAAGGACAGACAGATAAATTGATGGATTGACAGATAGACGGATAAATGGATGGATGGTTGGAGTTTGGGTGTGACCGACAAAAGGTTTATATTGGGGTTTAGGCTGGATGGACGGATGGATGTTGGATGGACGGATGGACAAAAGGATGGATTGATGGACGGACAGATCGATGGACGGATGAATGAATGAACGGATGGATGGATGAAAAATGTAAGAATAGTTAAAACGTTAGGAGATGAAAAATGGCGTAATTGTATGAGAAAAAAGTCGTAACGTTACGCGGAACAAAGTCGTAAATTGACAAGAAAAAACATGTAATTTTATAATAAAAATCGTAACAATGCGAGAGGAAAGTCTAAATTTACGAGCTTAAAGTCATGAAGTGTAAGTCGAAAGGTTATGAGAGAAACAAGTCGTAACGTTACAAGAGTTAAGTCATAAATTTACGAGACCGAAGTCTGAAATTTCGATGGTGTATTTCGCAGGAGACGAGAGGCTAGCTCACAGCGTTAAGCATTCGTGCGTCAGAACGAGTGGACAATAAAACAGCATCACAGTCAAATATATTTCCAGGTTCATTTTATTAGATATTTCTATTCAATGACGTTCAGTGACATTTGGTTCATTTGTCCTTGGGGGGGCCTCCACCGCGGCCACCACAGTGCTCCTTTTTCATCTCCGCTCCACGGCCACATCCTTGACCTTGACCTTTGTCCCCTGGTCCCTTGTCCTCACATCCTCCTTTTCCCTTTGCCTGTTAAACAGACAGGGGGCGACGTCAGTTCTCGTCACTTCAATCTCCTCACTCTGTTGGCCAAACTTGTCGTCTTACCTTATCAGCGTTACACTGACCACGTTCTTGGCACTCGTCGTCAGGACCCCCCCTCTTCTCCTCCTACAGTAGAGAATCAACTCAGTGAGTCATTGATCTAAAGCGGTGCTCGACTGCTCAGGTCTTGGTACCAATACTTTCAGTATGACTTTTGGGATAAATGTTGATTTATATTTTGGAACTGACTCTCAGGATGATGGTCCAGAAGAAAAATAACTAAAACTAAAGTATTAGTAAAAGTAAACGTATTAATTAGGGATCTCCGATATTAACTTTTTGCCGATATCCGATATGCTAAAATTGTCCAAACACTTAATTTTTGATTCCCAAATCAACCGATGACGATATAGCGAGGCAGTGGTGGAAGTTAAGTGTTGCCTGCTCACTAAGGTGATGGGTTAAAACAGTGTTTCGCAATCATTTTCTGCCCCCTAGGGGACAGAATTAAAATACAATTGAGCGCCTGGTAATATTTATTTATTTATCAGTACAAACCACTGTAGGAGTTTCTGTCACCATTCTGTATACAATCACCTGATTATCAATATAGATTAATAAAATGAGCTGCAGTGCTGCCATCTAGAGGCTTGTTTACCGTTCATAACGTTCTGTGTTCATGTGTTATGAAGGAGTTAACAGTTACGGGAGTGAGGTTTTGTAGTGAGTTTTTGGAGAATTTGGCTCAAGAGCAATAAAGAAGTTCAGAACGAGTTCCTGCAATTGGGTTTCAATGAAAGTTCTTCAGAGAACCGAGGCATCTGATTGGTCTGTCGCCGGGGCGTTAAACTATTTTTAGAGCACGCGTAATTTGGCCGAAACCCAGGCATTGCGTTATTGGGTTTTCCATTATTGGAGGGAAAATCGGTAACAATTCTTACGGATATTACAAAAAATGCTAATATCGGGCCGATAATATTATCGGACATCCCTCGTATTAATGTCTCCTGTTCCACATGGGTCATATTTTACAGTGCTGTGTCCATAGACACTTAACAAATAAACTGTAAAAGACAAGAAACAGACTTACTGATCTGCCACCTGTAGGAAGACACAAAAAAAAATAAATGTCAAAATGTGCAAAAAATAAGATCATAGTGTTAGTGATTATGGAAATATGTCAATATAACATCATAAATCAAGACTGCATGACAAGTCTATTTTTTTGTAATAAGTTTTGAGCGATCACACGTGAATTTTACGCTTTTTAAAATTTTTAAACTTTTTTAATTTAAAAAAAAAATTAGAATTTAATTGAAATTTTCTTGAATAAAGTCGCACACCAATATTGTAAAATTGTCGACCAAAAATGGTGCAGATAAAAACAGCGCCTCTGCAGATATGAAGATGTCGTTTACACCTAACGTCGCAGCTGATAAAAACCAGAAAGGCCAACATTCGTAGCTGCTGTTTAACGTTCGCTGTACAAATAGACACATACTGATAAAATTGGACAAAAACAAAAACCACTGCTGCAAACACTTACTCATGTTGCCTCGTCGACAGGTGCGGTAGAAAATCTATTCACAGAGAAAGAAGAAAAAAAACGACATCAGTCGCGGCGACAGAAGAAACGACAAACGAGAATCAGCAGAGTCTCTCCACCTACCTGGTACAGGAAAATGTAGTAGCTGATGCCCGGTCTCTGCGATCGCGCTCTCTTTATAAGGCGCCGTGTCACGTCATGTTGACCTGATCCTGATGTTGATCCAACCGGCAGGACAGGTCTGGGTGTAACCGCACCGGGAGACACGTGCAGGACAAAAGAAGGACAAATACTGTATCATTTCTAGATTACTAGATAGAAACAAAGTATTTCCAAATACAAGTAAGAACAAACACAGTCAAAGTCTTAGAGCAGAGGTGCCAAACATACGGCCCGTGGCCCAAAACCGGCCCGCTTAATGAATTTTGAAAAGAAAAAAAAATACACAAAAACTTTCTGTGTTTTGTGAAATTATATTTCATTAAATATGAAGTTTTATGTGATATATTTCTACATATGTGCATGAAAACACAGGGGAAAAACATTGTTATTGTTGCTTATAGCTAATTATGTTATGATTGTACTGGTCCGCTGCAAAATATATATATATATATTTTTTTTTATAATGACACAAAACCCAGCACGACACCTCACCACTAGATGTCACTCTTTGTACATCCATGTACTATTATCACTGTACAACAGTCTGTGACCTTTTTACAGTTATCAGTAGATACAAGACTTTAATCTTATGACATCACGATTAATCACGATTAATTGTTGCCTTACTTAATCACGTTTGATCCCGATAAATCAAGATAATAAACACTGAACATTCAAACATTCAAAAAAAAACAAAAACTTTTTTTTCTGTATATTCCTGGAACTGCAGCTAGGGGTCAGTGTTTCTCACCTATATTTACTTGTGACTAATCCGAATGATGGAAAAGTACAACTGAAAATATATGTAGCTTCACAGAGTTGGTGTATTTTTTTAGTCGGTGTCTTGAGTTTTTCTTCAAATCTTCGGTGAGTCCGGTGAACACTCCTTAACGTAGACTTACTTCCTGTCCTGACCTCAGTGAGGCCTGTCGGACACAAGTCGGGCGTCGACCTGATGTTGAAACCACCACCAAGGCTTGTTGACGTGGAGTTGGCATTTTAAGGTCGAGTGGGTTCCGTGAAGCAAAAATTCACTGAAAAGTTTTCCTGCAGCTAGTGGACAGTGGAGGTATTACATGTGTTTAAAAATGCATTTATGATTTTTAACCTTCACAATTAAACCCTTTGATTCAGACAGAGATGTTACTTGTTTGATAAGTAAGAACCCATCAGTCCAGCGTTTGGGTTCATGCAGGATGGGCCGCAGAGGACACACGATGACATTCTGCCACAGACCACACACAAGGTGGAGCTCTACAGTCTGATTCACTTCTCAAACCCGTCCCGTTGAACCTGTTTGGTTTTTTTAGCCTCCACACGGTGTACTGTTGTGCCCTTTTCTGCCCTCAGGGTTTTCAACCCTCGGCCATCCTGATTAGAAAAGTCACATGACCTTCGAGGTTTACTCTATGAATCAGAGACGAAGGAACAAATGTGGCCGTTTTGGTTTCCAGGCCTTGGCGTGGTATGTTTTTGGTAAACATTCTTTCTACTGTCACGTTAAAGGTGTGTTCAAGCGTGTCCGTAAAAAAACAGTCTCTCTATTTTTAGTGCCCTTATTTTTGATGTGTTCTGTTTGGGTCTCATTAAAGACTATCAAGGATCCCCAACCTATGGTCTGTGGACCGGTCCGTAGATAGTTTGGTACCGGGCCGCAGTAGGACACAGTAAAAAAAAAATACTTTATTTATACTGATTTACTTCATTCAGAGAGAATCCACTCATATCTATTGACTTTCTTCATTTAAAGATATTCTGGTAATATTTAAAAAATAAAGGTCATTGAGGCTGAAACACTAACAGACGTCTAAAAATGTTTTACTCTAAAAATATAATAATCCCTAATGATAATTCCAGTCCGCAGTAACGGTTGGTACCAGTCGACTGGTCCTTGGTTGGACACCGCTGCTTTATGTTACAAACGGACTCTATAAAATTTTTGAGATTTCGGAATCGGAAATTAAGTGTTCGGACAATATCGGCATATCGGATATCGGCAAAAAGTTAATATCGGACATCCCTAATTAATACTTTTACTAATACTTTAGTTTTAGTAATTTTTCTTCAGGACCATCTTAATACTTTTACTTTTACTAACACTTTAGTTTTAGTTGTTTTTCTTCAGGACCATTTATAACCAAGGACCAGGGCTCCCCCTGCGGACTAGCGCAGTATTACTTATAGTACCCCGGAATGATCTTTGTTTGTATGTGACTTAAAATAATTAAACATCAAGTTTAAATATATATAAGCTAATACGTGATAGCAAAAAGCTAATAAACGTGTGTTATTTAGTTATTTAGAAACACAGTGGGCTCTCCTTTCGCGATGTCCCTCAGTACATCGCGGAATTTTTTTTTATCCCAATCTCGCTGATTGGCTCATGCGTCGTAGCCTCTCCTCGCATCTCCCCTTGTCTGCGCGCCACTACAGTACGTTACTGTAAAGTTCGTCTTCTGTTACGAAGCCCGAACCAAGACGCTGACACAGATGATAGTTCACAGTCTTCCTTTGTCTTTACAATAATGTCCGCCCGTGCGCTTTCATATACGGTCTGTTCACTCTCCTCTCTCATTGGTTCCGGCTCCTACTAATATAAGGTTACTTGACTTGCGTCCACCTTTGTCGCCTCTCCCTGCGGCAGATTTCCATTTTACAACTCTACGGTGTATATAATTGTGTGGGAAAAGGGGAGTACAGTCTAGGGAGGGTTGATAACAGTGCGGGGGGAGGTTCGTAGATACGAATACAGCAGCGTAGGCCTTCACTGTTAGCTATCACCGCAGGAGAGATGTTTATAAAGATGTTTATGTTTAAATGTTGTATTAATTCAGAGCAAATATTCAGTCACAGTGAAGCAGTCTCTTTTTTTTTTTTCAACTTTTCTTTATTGTCACAGAATTATGATTGAAAACAACGTTGATTTTTAGGTCCATCACTTCGGACCACCACCGCGCTTCTCCTTCTTTTCTTTGCCCTTGCCTTGTCCACCTTTCTCTTTCCCGTGTCCCTTCTTCTTCCCCTGTAAACAACCAAACAACAGGGAAAACGCATCAATATTCTGTATTATTTACTGTATTGTAGTTGAGAGGTTCAATGTTTTTAACGGGTGGATTTCTACCTTCCCGCCTTTTCCTTTCTCCTCTCCCTGAAAAAACAACGATGGATTAACATTATTTCAGAGCTACAGTGATTCGGAGGAGTTAGTTGCATGCTGGGAAAAACTGAAATGAATCTTACGTCTTCAGAACCAGAAGAGTCACTTTCCTCCTCCTCCTCTTTATTCTTCTCTTCCTGTGAAACAAAATCCAACCTAATTTAGCTTCAAATAAAAAAACAAAAACAAAATGTCGTTCTGCTGCGAGTTTCATTGAAGTGGAGACAAGAGGAAGTGGGCGTGGTCACCAGTTAACGTAGGACAGTATCCTGCAGTGATGCCTTTTAAATAAAATGGTTCATTTATCCTTCACTCCATGACCCATTGATTGGTACCCGACCCATATTTTTCGACACCACCCTCG